TGATTTTTTTGCATGGTTCGATAGAGCTCATCGAGATCTACAAGAATGTATATATTAAGAGAACTTAAAATGTTTTTAATATATACATTCTTGTAGAGCTTGATGAGTTCTATCGGAAGGAAGACGTTTCGTACTAGGTGTCCCGAACACCTTCGTTGTTTTAAATTTTTTTCATTCCGAAGGTCATCTGTTTTTATATGTCGGGAAGTCGTAACGAACATCTCGTGGGTGTGGGTATGTGGGTGTGGGTGTGGGTGTGGGTGTGGGTGTGGGTGGGTCTGGGTGTGGGGTAAAACAACAAGAGTCCAACACCCACATCCACACAACATCGCGAGCGTCGCAATGTGTTTGACTACTTGCACACGTGTATTGCAAAAGAATGTCTGTCTGATTGTGCAATGACACATTTGCGCAAGTAAACAGCGTCATCTGCCATTCTGTTCTGTGTAGATGAAGGTCGTTACTATTGCAACCGTCATTATTAATGACTTTTACATCATGAGAGTATTAAAAGATGTAGCTCTCATTTTTTTCCTTCTGACATTTCACACCCATTTTTGTCAAAACCATGGATACTTTTCTATAGGCCATCGACCATTCTCTATCCGATGGTATCACTCTCGCTCCAGTTCTTCTCAATTAGGGATAAACGGAGAATCTCCACCAAATCTGTTAGAGACAAAAAGCACACAATTGTCTAACTCGTCAATTTTGCACGCCAATGAGTGTATCACTCAAATTTCAGTTGCAATGCAAAAGCATTGAAGGTAAACGAACATTAATTCAAAGAGTAATTAAAGAATTCAAGTTAAAACCGTTTAAAAGAAGAAAGTCTCAAAACTTAAAAGCAACAAACAAACAACTACGTGTTGCATTATTTTCTTTTTACGTTCTGAAATGTTAATGATTAAATTGTTGTTACAAGTCACGGATGTTTCTAAGCTTATAACTTTCTTACTAGATAAACCAGTGGGGTCAATATAAAAAACTCATTAATCAAATACTGAGGAACAAAATGACTTGTTCGATATCCATTGTAAACTGTAGAAAATAATTGCCTAGTTCAAGTTCAACTGAAAGATAGAACAGGAGCTGTAGGTACAACGACTATCAATCGTATACAATAATATTGGATCTCTCTTTGCTTGGCATCCCACTGCATACAATACACGAAGCGAAAACAAGCAGTGTTCTCATTCTATCATCGTACTGTTCTTTTTTCAGACTAAAAATTTAGATTGATTTGCTGTACTTTCGAGATAATAGAATCTATATAACGGGTATTCGTTCTTTCTGAAACAAGAGCGTCCGTTGTCCGATGCTTCTTGAATAGGGCATTCATCGGCCAACGGGTCATAGCTAGTGGTGGTGCCACAGTCGGGCAGTGGCGGACTGAGCCCGGCCGAAAACATTTTGAAGATTTTTGAATGAAATGATTATTTTCGTACGATACATCTTATAATTCAATTCGTTTTGAGACGAAGAGATTTCTTTCTATTTTTTATTGGTTGTTCAATGAAAATCACGGTATGGTGGCAAATCAGCGAAAGGCTTCTCAGCGAAAGACAAATAAGCGAAAGAGTTTTTAATTGACGGTAAGGGTGTAAAAGTGAGGGTGGAGGCGAAATATGCTTTTGCTGTTGTGTGCTTCGCGCAATTTTTTTCGCTGAAAAGGTCGTTCGCTTAAATTCTTTTTCGGTCCAATATAAAACGTGTATCAGTGACAGAACGAAAAAAGTGACTAGTGTGAATGAATGAGTGAGTGAGTGAGTGAGTGCTATTTCCTCCATTCCTATTGTAGCTTTATTACATCACATTGCATCATATTATGAAACTTGTGAAACAAAAAAATGCAGAAAAAAGAAATGTAGCAGCGGATAGTTTTGATCTACCGCCCTTCGGATTATGAGACCGACGCGCTACCTCTGCGCCACNTATGATGCAATGTGATGTAATAAAGCTACAATAGGAATGGAGGAAATAGCGATCTACGATAGAGGACTGCATCCGTTGTTATCAGGAGCTGCGTCCCTAATAACGATGGGCCAGCTAATTTTTGTCCCTAATAACGACACACCTACCAAAACTGGTATATAACTCTACATTAAAAAAAGCCTATTTCAATTCTAATAGTCTGATGGGTTCTGAATGTTTTCCACAACTTTATTTTATAGTTCATGATAATTAAATTTTCGGTGCCTGGGTTCCCCCAGGTATTCAGTCGAAACTTTTTGTCTTCATTCCATTTGTGGACTTTATAAATCGATAGAATAAAATGTGCTGATCACGAATATCCCATTTTTTTCAGTATTAGTCGAATAATAAGGAAGATGTCGGGCATTTTTGTAAGACCGAAAAATCAGTTTTTGCCCTAAAAGAGTATTAACATCCGCACCCAATCCATTGAAAATAGTCAGTCGACGCAGAATTGTTTTCCCTATCACAATCTATAAAAAGATTTTGGAAACGACAATCTTTTTCATTGAAATATGGTGAATACCGTCCCGATTGGATTCTATAGTAATAAGTAGTGTTTCTTTGTGTCTCAAGAAAATGCATTTTCCAAGAATGAATCAATAAGATTTTTACACACAATGGATAACTCAATGAGTTCTTTCTAATGGGACTATTTCTAAAACTTTAAGAGAGGTTTCATGAGACCATTGAGCATCATGCTATGAGCCTAGGCACTGGACGAATTTTAGGGTGTGGGTGTGGATGAGCATTAGAAAGAGCCACACCCCCGCCCACGCCCTTCCGATATTTGCAAGACTTCTCCGACGTTTGTAACACTTAGGGGTGTCAATTTACATTTTATTTTATTTAAATTTAACTTCGTGAAAAGTTAATTTAATTTTAAATTTAATTCTATAAAGTTAAATTTAATTTTTGAAAATTTATTCCTCGATTTAATGAATTTTTTTAAATTTTAAATTTAAATTTAATAAATTGTTTGGATGGATACACATCATTGCTACGAGAGAAATACGTGACTTTAACAGTAGTAAATACTAAATGAGAGGAAAACCTAGTATCTTAGGTTAATATTTGTTCATAATAGTCAAAATTTCTCTACAGATTATGCAGGATCTGCCATCTTTCTTCTTCAAAATACTGAGATACTAATAAAAATATATTTAATAGCAAATTTCGTAGAAAAATGACTAGCGTTAACTCTAGAAAACAGGAAACATACTCAAATTTGACTTTAAATAGTAGCAAACAAGTCAAAAACTATGTTTATCTACTAGTTTTCAAAATTCAACTAATTTGAATTTCAAACAATTTAATTTAAATTTATTTCTTGATTTAATAATTTTTTTTAAATTTAAATGTGGCACCCCTAGAAACACTTTTCCCATATTTACAAGACTCAATACCATAAACACAACGAAAACTAATACATGATTGTATAATTATGAATAGAACGAATGTTGTTTGCTTCTACTTCGCATTTTTTAGCATTTATGTATGAAATTTATTGAAACATGAGATTTGCATCAATAAACATTTGCTTGTTTTAATTAAATGTAGAATGCATAATGTAAATAGAAGTTAGTGATGGTAATTTATTTATTTGGGAATTATCGATCTTTTCGATCATTTTCAACCATACAAAAGGACCTTTAAATGCTTACAAGACTTTTCCTATATTTACAAGAAAATATCTATTGATGCAAATCTCATGTTTCAACAAATTTCATACATAAATGCTAAAAAATGCGAAGCAGAAGCAAACAACATTCGTTCTATTCATAATTACACAATCATGTTTTCGTTTTCGTTGTGTTTATGGTATTGAGTCTTGTAAGCATTTAAAGGCCCTGTTGTGTGGTTGAAAATGATCGAAAAGATTTATCGTGTAGACGATTATCGATTGAAATATCTCATTTACAAAGCAGAATCATAGTAAGAATGTCTAAAACAAAGGTCGATTTAATGATATCGAGAAAACTGAAGACATCAAGATCGTTTGTTATTAAATATTGACATTTAATCACCATCTGTTTTTCTTTATATACGGCCTTTTTCTTTCTGAATAAAATATTCGAATAACAAAAACAGCGTTAATGAAAGAACTTTCTTTCTTCATTTCTTGCTATGCTGAGAATATGAATGAATATGAGATTTATATCAACACCGGTGATGACTGAAGAAATGATTGATGCATACATATTGTAACTGATACGGAGACGAATATATTTCTTCTTAAAGTGATTACTCTTTGTAACTTCAGAAGACAAAGAGAGTCGTAAACATACTCTCAGATTACTAGAGAGAATCAAAGTATAGTAGAAATTATGCATGGTGGGTGTTATTTGTCATAGAATAATCATTGCTATCACATGACACGTGGGATGCTATTCATTTTTAAGCACCATACAAATACTCTGAATATATTTGCAAAAATGTTTCTAATAGGAAAAATATTTTTCACCAGCTAGACTCATAGAAGTTTTGATGTTATAATTCTTATGAGATAAACTGTAAGTTCCTTTTTTATTTGAAATACTAGGATGGTTTGTTTATGAACATTTTTCACTTGAACTTTCGAAAAATCTTTTCTCTCCTTCCTTGTCTGTAGAAACGAATAGATATGCACCGATGCCTATAATCGTTGTGCAAGACTTCAGGATTTTATCTTAGTCTTCAAAACCTAAAATTACTAGTAAATATTCAGATAGGATGGCTTCTGTTCGAAAAAAATCAGAATGAGTAGCAAGAACTTCTAATACGATATTTTGGGACTATATATACTAAGAGAAGAAAAGCAAGCAATTGTTAATCGAGGATTAACTATTCATAGCTTTATGCTGTGACTTTTTAAATAAATTACGTAAATGCATCACTCTATACTCGTATTTCATTTTCTTTGACTCACAGCTCTCATGCAATAGGCTCTAGAATGTTCTATAAAATGTTAAACTGTTACAGGTAGATTTTATGTGTCTGAATACACGCGTTTACATCTAATTCTTCGACTACTTTAGATCAAAAATATGAACAGTCGTGCTGTGCCAGACACTACCGGAATCGCCGCGCTCGTAACGACAAACCCACTGCTTCCTGGAGATGAATCAATATTCGAAGTTCATCCTAACGAACCAGATTTCCCTTATCTCAATATACGTACGATTCATATTTCGCGGGAATCGGATCGTTTCAATCCTTCAACAAATCTAATTGGTATGATCATTTACGGCTATAGAGGTGCAACTGATTTCTATTTAAATAATAGAAATTGTAAAATAGGCCATATTCTAATAAAAAGGAGCGACGAAATGAATCACATTCAGGCAGATACAACGCATAAAAAGCTTTTCAAGTGGTTCTTTGGTCAAGATTTACCTCCTGAATTTATTGCTGGTGGGTTTGCATATCAAAATGGTCAATGGAAATACAATGCGCTCGTATTTAATACTAAACAAGATATCTATCATAATAATAAGAAAGGAATGTCTCTTACTGAGAAACAACTGCTTGGCGGTGCTTTGTCACGACTTTACATCAATCATCGATGGCAACAAGATCCAAATATTTCCGTGCGAGAAATTTTTTCGTCAAATGAAGGATGGCAGTTATTCGAATCAGTGAATACTGTTGTTAACCCGAGTATGTTTTCTGCTTTTCTATTTCTCTGAGTATTGCAAATAAGTAGGTTTTTAATAAGTATAGCAGAAATCTCAATACCTCAATGACTCTTTTATTTATTTCATACTTCTATTTTAGATCGTGTTGACAAAGTAAATAAATATGGTCGCGCAGCAACTATTGGAGTAACCGGCAAATATTATTGTGGTGACTACCTTGATGTCATCCGTTGCTCGTGTTGCGATGGTAGATGCGGTCCAGGTAATGGATGCAATTGTTCTGGTTGTATGGAACTTGACATTGAAAATCGCAGACTACCGAAAGGGACATTGGTCAATCGAGATGGTGCACCGGCAAGTCGCAGTCGAATAGATGGACAAACATTCTATTGTGGTCGTCCCGTATTGAGACGAACGAATTCTTGTGATGGATACTGTGGACCTAACAACGGACCTCAATGCTATGCTTGCCAAGCACTAAATGAACAAACGCCACGCTATAAAACATTATTAAATGAATACGACTATACATAGAAATTGTGTACATGTAGCATTTAATAAAGTTGATCTTCAGCAATGACAAAACAATTTGTCTTTTGAAACTGGTTAGAGTTTCATCAATTATGTCTTAGCAAACTCTAGACTATATTGGATTATTTTCCGGACTACTTAGCTGTAATTTGAGTAGATAGGATTTTACTTTCGGAAGAAATGATTCGAATTTACAATGGATCAGTCGATCTTCGCTATTTCTGTAATCTATCTAAAAGAAGAAAAATAAGAAAAAGAAAATACACTTTTGTTTCACTTTGACTAGGATAATGCTCGTGCTCCTATAACGTGTAGATGCATAGAATAATTCCCTATTTTTACAGAAGATCGCAAGACCTCTCTAAATGACGTAGAATCTTGTAGGTGTCTTATCTACAGTTACAATATAATATGTGTGACGAATTGGTTACATCGATATGAGGATTGTTTTTTGATGTTCAGATAGAATTCGTGAGATTCGTATTTCTTGAATTTAGCCAATATTCACTGGCTTTATTCTTTATTAAATCTTCATTAATCGTTTTGTTTTATCCTCTTGCCATTTCATTTCATTTTTATTCACATAATCGATATTTAAAATTTGAATCTTTCATTTCTCATAAACAATTATTTTCCCTAATATAAAGTGAACTATTCTGCTGTAGCAGTAAAGATTGGGAGACTCCTATTAAATACAAAGTAAAATTACTGTTGAAGTACATCGAATAATGCGATTATGTTTTCGTACGTCATTTAAGAAATGACGTTGTACAAAAAAGTCAGAAAAAAGGATGTTTCTAAAAGTCAAAGCTCACTGTTAAAAACAAACACTATATTTATAATATTGGGATGAAATACATCAATAAAAACGAAAGAGATTGTCGCCATTTCCCGACGACTATTATCAACTTTTTGACATCAAACAATTACGATACAAGGTCGTATTTCTTTTTCTTATTGGCTTTCATGGATTCTTTAATTTTAATGGGTAGACCATAACAACAGCGACACAATTCATCACAAGAAGAATTCACGAATTTTGCTCGTTTTCTATTATAGACATCTGATAGTCACAATTCTAATCAGCAAGCAGAATTTTCCTTTGTTCTGTCAATCGTGATATGCATTTATGCTTTTATATAAAACCAAAATTCTGCTTAGAATTCTATTTTCACACCAGAATTTTGTTTCGTTTTGTTAACCATGATACACATATGAACTATTATGAGAAGTAAGACACAGTTACATTCAGTGCTTTGTTTTAAGCGCAAAGAGTAAATGGCGTTTTGATGTCTTCTTTACCCATA